GCTTCCTTCCTTTCTTCCTTGCTTCCTTGCTTCCTACCTTGCTTCCTTGCTTCCTACCTTGCTTCCTTGTTATTTTGCTTCCTTGCTTCCCCCTCCTTTACTCCCTCACTTCCTTTATTCCTTAGCTATTTGCCTTACACACTTTATCCTCTCTGGCTCCCCCTAAGCGATTTTATTAGTTTTTCCCATAAATAAATACGTTTTCATTTTCGCTCAATATGGCGGCCATCACTATGATCACATGTCCTTAGCGCTACCTACTTACCTAAAGCGTTGTTAGTAATGGTAAGAAAAACCAATCGCACCCGTTCTCTCTCATCACCAGACAACAACTCTTCCAGTCTCTTCAAGTCCATATCCCCCTTGAATGGATAATCTGAATTTGGATCCAATGCCTCAGGAGAAGGTAGATTAAGAGCAGTAGCTTCTTTAGCTTCAACGTTCGCTCGTGTTGTATCAAAATGCGAGTTATTAAGCACAATGTCCCCTGGTAACAACGTACAGTGAAACAGAATCCGCTCAGCGGCCCGGCCTTGGTGGGTCGGAAGCACGTGACGGTAACCGTATATCTCCTTGACAACGGCCTCAAATTTACTGTAGCTGCTCGAGCCCGCATACATCTCGTCGCCTAGCATCATGGCTGACCACTGCTCCGTACTCATGGCACCGGTTCCTGAGTCAGTAAGTAGGTCGATGAGAACATGCTCAGATTGGACCATAAATAGATTATAATGAGCTTCCTTCAAATACTTTAGTCGTTCTTCTCTTGTGGTGGTTTTGATTTTTTCGACAGATTTGATGCGAAAGGGCTCGAACGAAAATACGGACCGACGAGGGCCGTTTTCCATGATCTTATGACTTGATTATAATCTGCAAAGCAAAAAAGATTAATAACAGATATTATGGATGCATGCAAATGAGACGACAAGCATTGTATCGACCCGATAGCCTCACTTGTTTGACCACTAAAACAATAGAATATCTCATTGCGTGCCCGGCTGTAGTACTCGGCCACTTTTTATCTCGTGGACAAGCGAAGCGTAGAAACGAGTTATTGTGCGGGGTTTGAATATGCAAATGTGTCTTTCGCTCACTTGCCCACCAAGATGCTACAATCTTGGACAAAAGTATTAGGACAGCAACATAAAATTACATGAAATTGTTCTTTTCCCCTCCCCCAAACCAATGTTGGGGCAAACGGGGGCGTTTGGGATGATGTGTGGTTTGACCAACATTGAGTTGGGGGAGGGAGCTTCATTGGTAAAATGGCGTGTAAACTTTGAAACATTATGGATATTAAGACAATATTTGAAAATTTAGAGGTGACTTTTCAAGTGTCCCAATGACTTTTGTCCATGATCGCAGCAGATCGATTAAACGTTTAGTCAATCGTCTTATATCATCTGCTCACGAACGTTACGCGACTTCATACGAAGAGGATACGAAGTTCTTCTGCCATTTATATCGGGAGCACTGATTTCTAGCACTGAGCATGCTCGATATGTGCTTCATAGCGGAACGTAGGAACACAGGGACCCAATACTTAAGAGTGCAAGTAGAATTCAGAGGAGGCTATCCTCGAGTTTCCCATGCGGCAGTTTGATCTTCATCACAATAATTGAATAAAAAGATGGATATAGCATAATTACACCTTTCGCGTAAGAAAGCCTCAATAGACTAATTAAAAATTTGATTACAAAATGATTACGTTGTCAGGCGGCCTCTGAGAAAGAGCATCTTGTCATCCGAACGTTAAATATTTTTCCGGATAATTTCAAAACGGAATTTTGGGGATTGGCTTTCAATTAACACCCATCCGGTTAATAAGCCACTCGAAAACGCGACTTATTGAAAATGGATTCGTGTAGACAGTCTAAAAAAAGTGACTAAACCGCTACGTGTGGACAATGATTTTGTTAAACGCAATAAAAAATTCCAGTTTTAAAAATAACCGACGGCGAACGAGGCCTTAAATCCCGACAACAAAATCCCGGCTTAAATCATGGCTGAACACAGCTCTAAATTTGGTACACAATTTAATTTTTGTCTGTCTTTGATCTACCGCAAAAAAGTCCCTTACGCGAGCAACTAGTCACCAAAGTTAATCAAGAAAGTATTTTTTTAGTATATAAACAAATAGCTGTGAGAAATAAGCACAAAAAAATAATTTCCGGAATGTTCAAATAAAGTCATAAAGCCCCGTTTACACCAGCGATTTTTGCGACGATTTTTGCTGCGATTTTTTTGCGATTTTGTCCATAATAAATAATGGTAAAGAATTTACTTAGGATACCAAGATTTTCCTAGACGAATGTCTCTTTTGAAGGTTGAGACAAAAGATTTCATATTTCCGAAAATTGCCACAAACATCGCCGCAAAAGTCCCCGCAAAAATCGCCAGTGTAAACGGGGCTTAAAATGTATTACTAAGTGGGATTAATGAATTATGGACGATTATTCGGACGACGTCATGACTTTGACAATAGGGACTTTAAGATTTGCAAAATCTACGACGGCGACGTCTACCGGAAGTGTAAACAACTTCACTTTAGGGTTTCGCGCCTTCATAGACTGTATTCCATATGGATGAGTTGACTTTACTGACAATGTTTTGAATGAAATCTCCAATGAACAGAAACCCCAAAGAAAAGTTATTTACACTTCCAGTTGACGTCGCAGTCGTAGATTTTGCAAATCTTAAAGTCCCTAATATTGTACTGAGTAGATTTTGTTTACTAATGAGGCCTTTCTGACCTCGCTTCCATTCAATTGTCCCTACTCCAAACCGCGTTTGGCGGCCATTTATAAGAAAAGTCTATATGTCCTAAACTTTAAGTTTTACTACTAAAAGAAATAGCTGTGAGAAAATAGCACAAAATAGAATTTCAAGTGTTCAAATAAAGGAACTTATTATCGTATTACTAAGTTGGTTTTATGAATTATGGACGATTGTTCGAACGACGTCATGACGTCATCCATTCATCATGACCCTACTATTTGTCCTAAACTTAATTAAGACAATCTATTTTTATGAAAACAAAGAGCTGTTGAAGAAACTTGTTGGATTGTTCAAACAAAGTTAAGAAGCAAAATACTAAGCGGGATTAAAAAATTATAGACTGTCAAGCTGATGACGTCCTTCAAACATTTTGACCCTACTATATGTCCATTTTTTTTTCCCTTGTCAAAGTTGTCATCTTACAAGAATAAAAACCTTATCACGAAAGAAATTTCGCGAATGATTTTCTTGGTTTTATAGTTAGGTATATATTTGTCACTAATTTTTATTGGCCTCGACAAAAGTGAAAACGGCTGACACGGGTATATTTTTGGCCTCCTTCCTGCATGGCTTTGCGTCCTCTCGCTCAGCTGGCCTTGCGGAAATGAAGAAAAAAATAGCCTCTGCTAGTCGCAGGATACAAAAATGAAGGATTTTGTGCCTCTTATTTCTTAGATAAGGAATGCCCAACTCCAACAGCTACAACAATAGACGATTTTAAAGTTACATTATCACGCTTTCGAAAATTTTGTTTGATTTTCCCCCGCGAATTCCTCGTTTAACAAATAAGAAGCAAARACTCCTTCTTTTCTGTACCCTGCGAACAGAGGTTATTTTTCTAGTTTCCTTGGGCCGTAAGAGGCTGAGCTTATTTTTGTATTGCTTATTTCGGCCAAAGCACTGATTTCTAATTGATACCAGCGCTCACTTGATGGTATATGAATGGCGATGCTATCTATATTGAACCCTTACAAATGTTAGTACTACCTTATTTTTAAATTCATAGTTTATGTGGGCCGGGATTTTTAGATCAGTATTTTTGTGTTTTGAAACATTGATTCATATTTTGGTTACCTTAGTTAGTCCCGATAATCTTGGGCGCTCGAACTCTTGTTAAAGTGAGGGTCTTCAGAAATAATAAGTGACCCTTTGTTCAGCTGTTTGCAAAGCAAACAATACTTCAACAACCGAAATTGAATATGTTAGCGTAATCTTTGGTATTCAGCGTAGCCAATTAGACGTTTGGATGATGTTGTCATTTGTCTAGCAATAAGTATAGTAAGACAATTGTTGCTAATGAACTGAACAAAAGAAAGTGTGCAAGGGATTCTGGTAATAGAAGTCAAATGACGCCATCAACTGACTAGTATTTCTACCAAAATTTTCTTATTGGCAAAAGGTAGGAACATATGGTACATTATTTTATTCCTAAAAATAAATGTATTTGGCAATCAAATCTAAATTGTTGCCTATACATTCATCAGGAGATCCGCGCTACTGCTCTAAGCGCATGCTCAATAGGTCAAAAAATGGGACGATGAGTTGTAAAAATTGATTTGGAATTGTCTTAATTCTGCTTGCTCTTGAATACACTCAATTGAAGAATCGTTGTCGCGTTCAGAAACATAGAACATAGAAGCTAAGACCGAAATCGCACATGGGAAGTACGTTAATTAGATGCATGATGTGACCGGCGACACGTTGCATCATCCACTGATGTATGAGGAGGCATTTATGGTTATTTGTTGTTCCTCGTAATTCGAAACACCGGCTTCTATGGGAAAACTA